CGAGTTGACGATTTTGATGGCCGATAGAAAACACGTCGCGTCGGCACGCGGGGGCCCAACGACAGTGGCAATTTGTTATCCGGTTAGCGTATCCGTTCTAACACGATTCCAAGTTTCTCGCGGAAGTTTCGGCTTGCGAGCGCCGAAGGCGAGAGAGCCAGCCAGCAACGAGTTGGCTCGCGATGCGCACCGGTGTAATACGGTCCCTGTTGGTCGGTGCAGATCGGTTGGATTGCGTCCAACCGAGCGAGCGAACGACAACGGGCACGGCAAGTGGAACTCCGGATATGTATAATGCGGCAAAATGTGCTCGTGGAAGACGCTCGTACGGATCGTTATGCCCTCGAGTTTCCCATGTGCACGCTACTATGTATGTGATTGCCTGCCATATTCACGGACCAATGATTTATATGCTAATTCCTGTACTGGAACACGATCCACGGCAGTCCCTCCAGCAACTTTCACCGCGTCGAATGTCGCGAACTAGCGCCGATCGTTCACCTTGAACGCTCGGTAGAAACGATTTTGAATAATTGGCGGATAAAAAAGTGGAGCAGGGATTCTATTAGGATTTTTACTTGCGGCGTATCGAGGAAAAAGTTTGACGACTCGTGTTAAATTATATTAAAACTGAAACTAGCGATAGAAAATACGTCAAAAATTTGAAAATCTGACGGCTAATCTGACTCTAAATTGTTGCTCAACTATAGTTTCCACTGGCTCGATACTTGGCTATATTATACAACCACAAACATATTCATTTTCTATTGAAATCCTTTAGATAAGATAATCGTTACTGATACTAGAAAGCGATAGTACTGATTTCAAAAGATTTATGTATTTCGTACGTAGAACGAAATAGAACGAAACTTTTGGCTGGTAAGATATTTTAAAAGAAATAACTTGAATGCTGGTTCAAAACCTTATTTGAAGAAAAGTGATTGGTATACTTTCCAACAATAAAGAGCAACAATCCAAGCTTCGAGTCGTGGCTCGAGTTTTGACACACGAAGAGAGCGAAAGCAAACGTACTATTTGGCTAGAGCATGGAAGACCGCTAAGAGCCTCCATTTTTAGATCGTGCGAGAAACGCCGTATATACGGGAGATGCTAACAATAAGTTATAGCGGAGAGCGCGAAGCTGGAAGCCCAAGAGTTAGTCATCGGGCGTGCATTTGCGTCACACGTTTCCAGCATCGTTATCATGGCGGTCGTGAGTTTCAACGACAAAGATATCTGTAGCCGTGGCGCTTTGGATCGGGACGCTTGTAAAATCGTGACGACGCTTGTACAATCTTCGGTGGAGGGTTTCTGCGTCGCGTTCGTCGCGCAGGTTAGTCACGAATGGAGGATACTTGGTTTTGTTTCATTCACCTGATCGTCGGAGAAGACACACTTGACGTTAATCCAGCGGTGCGCCTTGACGGTGCAGTTGCAGCCGTCCATCGCGCATATCCCGGGCGGTGCACTCTCGACGTTACCAGGCGGCAGAAATACCAGACACCACAAGAACACCGACCATACGATAGCACGATCACACTTTAGCCCGTTCAGGGCACTGAACACTCTTCTTCTGCCGCTCATCTTTCTCGGCGATCCTCCGTGGGGAACAAAAGGCCGCGTTGTTCGACGACCGCGATCGATCGTCTCTCGATTCTGTCGCGCGCGGTGATCTTCCTCACATCGTTTACCGCACACACCGTTACTCGAACGCCGGTCACACTTTCATCGATCTGGATCCTTCTGCTTCTCCTCGAGATCGGTCACATTTGCCTCTTCACCTCACCGGAAAGCTCTGTCTCTCCTAAGAAACGTCTTTTAAATACACTCTACTTGATGCTCCAATGTGAACAAAAATCAAGTCGTCTTGGATTCTGGACTTTATCGATAGAGATATCGATCCTTACGAAACAGGATTTCTTTGGATCGACCGGAGGGGGGACTGGAACGTACTCGTACTTTGCAGAGAGATCAGAAGTGGACGGAAAATTGCTCGAGCGGATACCCGCCGCGAGCTAGTCCAAACACGCGCGCGGACGGCGGCTTGTTTCCGATGAGGTGGGGCAACTAGAAGCCAGCTGACGCGATCATGACGGAGGTTGCTTTCAAACTGTGGTCGGTGGCATGCACGATCGGTGTCTCCTCCCCACCAAGAACCGTGTGTTCCTTGGTTTGCTTCGCTCTCTTGCACTCTCCCTCTTCGGCCTTTTAAAAGATAAAAGCCAGGCTACGAAGCGTGTTCGAGTAGCCGGAGGGGGCGAATCGGCTGTGCGTTCGACACCGGTTCGACGAGGTTCGTCCTGTTCGTCGGGACGCAACAGTGGGAAGGGCTTGGCTGGCCGATAGGATCGGGACACCGGTTTTCGTGCAGGTCGCAGGGTCGCTGGACTTTCTGCCTTCCAAGGGCTGGCCTTGACCAAGTTACCGAGCCAAACAGCTCTTGTCCATCGCGAATCACGGATCCTCGTGACCGTGATTTGCATTTACGTAACGCGTGTTTGCGCACGGTTCGCCCGGTTACGCTCGTGGGAGAGCGATTGATCGTACCTGTTGACGAGCGATTGATATCTTTTCTCATCCGTCGGATACACTCCGACAAATTACACTCGCTGTGGTTTCCTTTCTGTTATTTTGATCGGTTTGAAGTTGAAGAACGAGTCGGTCGACCGTTGTGACAGTTACCGGGAAACATGAACTTCGTGGAAACGAATAGAGGAAGATATCGAGACCTAACGTTCATTTCTTTTTCATTTTTTCTTTTTTTTTTTTTTTTTTTTTTTTTAAATCTCCAAGTTTTAACGACCCCGGTAATTTAAACTTCGCTCGCGCGATTCGTAATAATCGCCGAACTTTGTGAAACTACTAAAAAGAGGAAGACACTGAGAATTTTTGAACGTACGAAGGTAATTTCGCTCTTCAAGTTCTAATGATCGTTCTAATTTAAATTTAAAACTCGCTTTTTACGTATGGTTCGTAATACGCTGCAAGGGGAAAGACGGAAGAACGCGTCTTTTTTTTTTTTTGCGGCTTGTTCGCAGAAAACTCGGAAACCTAACGCGAGACGAACGCAGCCGGACCAGCGTAAAACGAGATCCAGCCTCTCTTCATAGACGCGTCGCTTTTCATGGTAGACAGCGTTTCCCTAAAGCGTCGTGCCATCGTGGCTCTTCGCTTTATGAGCACAAGGCCTGGCCATTTAATTTCCCATGAGAAATTGCGCGTGTCCGTGCAACTTGGGGCTCGTTGGCGTCCCGCCGCATCCGCCGTCACACATGCGAAACGTCCATTCATTCATAACGCTCTTCTCAAACCAGGAAGCACCTGACGCCGGCCGAAGTGGCCATTTCCGAAATGACCACGTGCTGACCATACGTCACATCGGGACCGACCTTAAAGCCGCACTTCCAATTTCCATCGCGGACTACTCCTGCTCGAGGGCTGTTCGACGTCGTTTCACGTTCCTTCCATCGATCTTCCTCCATCTCGCATTACTCGGTGGTGGATCGGTCAAACGAGACCTACGTCAAGGATGTTCCACGGTCGGCGCATGTCCGCGAATACGTATCGACACGTATGACAGATGACTTTTCTCTAATATCATCTGTGTTCGTATCGTGACGGACGTCGCTATTGTTTCATACGTCCGACATTGTTCCCTCCGAGTTCACAAAAAACTGTGAAATTGACGCTCGCTAGGCTAGTTTGAAAATCGAGACATATTTAAGATCGGGTTAATTACTTGGTTTCAACGTTTCTGATTCGATTTCAATTCCATTTTATACCGACTTCGATGATGTGTATATCACAAAGATGGAAAAGACTTTCAACTTTCGACGATTTAGCTCGCCAAACTTTAATCGTGAAATCTTCAATCGTGATTCCTGCTTTTCAGAAATATTCGCTCTTAGCTGCTCTTAATGTCGAATGGCTTTAAATTCAAAATTTAAGAGATCCTCGCGAGACGAGTCGAAGAGTAGTGCTCGGAGCGAGGACGTAACTTCCTTGCCGAGTCGAGTTTCGATCCGCGGCGAGTCTCGCGGCGGATATACCGGTTTGGCCGCATGTTTCTTTGAAAGTGACCGAGCACGATGTCTTCGACGAAGTCGTTTTCGCCGCTCTGTCGAGACTCGACGTCTCGGAATCAGCGTGGAAACGAAGGTAGCGTATAGGTAGCGGACGGTGGACAGAATTGCGACGTGACTGCGCCTTTTAGGGATGAGTCCGATGATCACTCGCTAGGGGAAAACAGCGATTGTCAGAGGAGCATCGTCCTCTGCGACGTGATTTACTCAGACGAGATCCACGAAACGGAGCATCAATTAGGGGCATCGCAACTGAGAAACTCGTTGCAGATCGTGACCTCCTTCCAGATCGTGTTTTTATTCACGGCCTACGAAAATTCACGCGCTACTTCGGATCTCACAGTTTCGAGCTTCGTTGCGCAACCAAACAACGTGGAATTTAATTATACAGAAAGCGCGGAAAGTTCCTTGAGCATTTCAGATTTTTCAGTAATGTGTCAAGATCGTTTCTCATCGGAGATTTCCTAGTTTGTTAATTTATTGCGCTCTGTTTTATCGAGAAAGCTTTTAGAGTTCGTCAAGTTTCTTTCGTCAAGCGTAGAGTTCTTAATTTATCAGCTTGTTTGTTAAATTTTGCTTGACACAATTTGGACAACAAACGGTGATCGTAACCGGTGAAATTTTTTTTATCCACAGTGGTCACTCGAACGAACGACTGTTTCTGCGAGACTTCGTATCTTGCTCAACCGGCACCAGCGGCGGTCGTTTGGCAAGATGGTTACAACCAGACAGTTTCGTGGATCCCTCGAAATGCGAGGCACTTTACTCGAAGGACGAAATGAAGTGCGGATGCCCGGCCATTGTTACCATACTCACCAGAGACCAGTACGGAGATGTTGTTTTTGTACCCAATTTGAAGGTACAACGTTAATTATTCTCTGCTCCGCCGCAAATAATCTCTCCAACTTTCAGAGCTTTCGGACTATAGCTACGCTAGTCATTTAGTTACTAACGAACATCGTTTCTGCTTATAATCACTACCAGGTGGACGTGAAGGCGGTACCCATAGACAAGAAAGACTTGGCAGATACCGAGCGTGTTTCCCAACTTGACCCAATGACTTTTGGTGGTCACCCACAACCACCCTTGGACGTTCCTTACGAAGTCACCATCAACAACAAAACCTGTTTCTATGCGATCACTGTCATGAAAGCTTATCAGAACTACTCGTTCGAGGAATTGAGGTTCATGTCACCGGCCCTTAAAAGATCGAGCGAGAGCATGCTGGTGAGACCGAACGGCGATGGGAGTTACAGCGCCACGTGGACGCCGTCGTCGATCGGATGGTATTCTATCATGGTCACGGTCGATGGATACAACATGGAAGATGTGAGTTTTTTTTTTCAGCTTCACTCTCGTATCGACTCTTAGAGATAAATTTACAAAGCTTTTTATCAAAGACAAGTGAGGTAAGTTTCTGTTTCACTCACGGTGGATCACAGAGGCGCTTTAACTGCTTCGATCGCTAACTTTGAACTTTGATTCGTATCAGTGAGGATAATCATGAGCTTAATTGTTTTCTCATGAACATCATATCAGTTGATTTCACTTTCCACTGATTTTTATTTTATCGATAAATAATCAATTGTCAACCTAACGATAATATTATCAAAAATATCGGAAATATATATGCAGAATATATGTATATCAGAAAGATAGATGTCGATAGAGAATTGGATAAATATCCCTGTGCACTACAAAATAATATAACTCCTTTTCAAAAGAGAAAAAGAAACGAAATGTAATGTAAAGTTGTGCAAGGAACGGAGACGAGGATGAAATTTCATAAAGTTCGTAGATCCGTTTTTCAATATTTCTCGTTTGTTTCGCAGAAATATAAAGTAGAAGTAAAAGAATCGCCGCAGGGTATGCAACCGCCTACTCAGAACATCGTGAAGAAACCGCAACATCAGCCGAGCAGATTGAGAAAATTCGTGGCTAAGAACAGCGCCGGCTTGAGGATCAGAGCGCATCCGTCTCTACAAAGCGAGCAAATTGGCGTCGTTTTGGTTAATGACACCATAGCATTCATAGACGAAGTATGCGATTCTGCTTCTTTCGCGCAGTTTCAATTCCCTCGAACACGTTATTACGTGGGCTTTTATTGAAACGTCCTATCCCCGCGTTTTGTTATTCCGTTTGCCACACAGATTCACAACGACGACGGCGTTTGGCTGCGATTGAACGCGGAGACGATAAAGGAATATTGCAGCAGCAGTCATCTGGAAGCCTGGTGTCTCCAGTATAACCAACATTTAGGGAAAACTTTACTCCTTCCCGTCGAAGAGCCCAAGTCGATTTTAGATCAAGTGATCAAAGAAACCATTCTGCGCAAACGACCGGAAGCTGTCGACGAGTACGTGAATCAACGAATATCGGAATTTTTAACTTGCTTTAAGCTGTTGTCAAGTACGTCTGTTTCGATTTCGTAACGTGCGATTGTTTCGTTTCAGTAAGAGGAAAACGGTGACGTTCGACGGTGGTCGAAACATGGTCGTCGTAAAGTGCGGTGCTTCCGGTCACAATATTAGAAGTAGGCCGGGTTTAAATGCTGCACCGGTTGGGAAACTGGCTCTTGGCAACATGGTGACCATTCAGGAATATGTATGCCCTAGTATTATCCTGTTATACACCTGTTCCTCGATTTATGCGGACTATTTGCTCCACGCGCAGCAGAACCGCTAGCATGGAAATAAAATATTGAACACGCTTTCACGAAAAAGAGTAGTAATGATTCTCCGATGATCGCGTAAATTGATACCACTTACAAAAAAAAAGAAAAAAAGAAAAAAAATTCGCGTAGAAAACATCGTGTAAATCGATGAATACGTAATAAGAATTCAACGAATGTGTAATTAAACCGAATGTTTGCCGCGCAGTTTGTCAACAACGAAGGCACTTGGGTACGCATGGACGACGAATCGATGGCGAAGTACTGTTTCCGAAAAGGTCGAGTTCCCGAGGGTGAAGCCTGGTCCCTTGCCGCCAGCAAACACGGCATTACCTACATGAAGATCGAGCAGGACGTGGAGATCGATCCGATGGAGAAGAAACCGGCGACAGCGGACTCGTCCGAATCGCCGAATCAGAAAGGTTTCGACTTCTCCGTGCCTTCTGTGAGTCATGAGGGCTTCAATTTCACCGGTCAAAATTTAACACCAGGTACAGCAGAATCTGGAGAGGGTAGTAATACAAATCCATTCGTTTTTGGTTCATACAATCAACACGATTCACCAGGTATTGCGTAAAAGCAATGCGCTTCGGCGAACGTAGTGCGTTTTTTTATCTATTTCTCGTTGTGTGCCCCCCTAGGAAGCGATAGGTTCACGCCGGAGAGGGCGGACGTTTCGCCAAAGTTCTCCAAGCCGCATTCGAAGGAGAGGGTGGTGAAGGAGAGGGAGCGAGAAGGGGGCGGTGGGAAACTGAGCGTCCTGCAGAAGTGGTTGAGAGGCGACGACAAATGCCACGGGGAGAAAAGAAGCTCGCCTGGCAGGTGAGCAGAAGCAAACGAGAGGCAAGACGCGCGCAGTTAGACTAGTTTCGTTATATAGTTTTGGCATTTGCAGGGACTTTTCCGAATTTGTCGGAGTGTCCGTGAAGGAGCTGGTGAAAGCGATAGGGGAGAGCCGAGCGAACGGTAACGGGCCCACGCCACCAGACACACCGAGGAGATTATCGAGAAGCTCGTCGCCAAAGAATCCCCAAGGTGGGTCACCGCGATTTCAGAGCCCGTCCTCTAGCCCGGTTCCAATACCTGGTACGTATGTCATTTACGTGACAAAATGAATATATACTCTACGACAGATCTACTATCGATTTACATTTATTCTCTCTCTCTCTCTCTCTCTCTCTCTGTCTTTAACTTGTAATCTCATTATTAATCTCATACATTCATGTGTGTGTCTTACTTCACACTTTTGGCACCATAACCGGTCTGAGGAGGAAATCGTTTCAGAAGCTGAGAGACCCGATATTGATACTTGTAAGATTGCGTATAGCGTCCCGCAGATATATTTTTCTTTTTTACTCTGATCCGTGAGATGGATGACGATTTAGAGAGAACCATTAAGTTTGAATAAGTCACACCTTTCTCTCCGATTAAATACTAACATCTAGTCGACGAACAAACGACCTTAGGATATTAAGTATATATACAGATCTTTGTTGGATTAGTTATAACAAAATAGTAATGTTGCTCTTAGCTGGGTCCAGTCGGCAGCCAGTTGGTTCTGGTAATTGCCTCTTTCCTCCTGCTGCTCATGCACCAGGTACTCGCTCCTTTCCTTACTCGACACATAATCCTCAGTCTGTACAGTTAAAACAATATAGTGTATAGTGTTCAATGTTGTTCGGTACACGTACTCACTTCGAACTACACCTCGATTACTCTTGTCAACGACACATCGCAATAGCACCGTAGAGTTCTCTTCTTGTTGCTGTATAAACATCACGAACGATCCAAATGCATGCAGTATGTTGATCAATGTGTAAGACGATACTCTGATCAGTTGTTGCACGTACAAGTACACTCTTACAAGATAGATAGATAGAGATCCGAATAGTGCATATTGAGAGTATACCCATTGAGAGTTTAGCGATAAATCATATAACACGTTACATACGAATTCTATAACTAATAAAAAACTTATCAGGTGGGAGAAGTTTGATAGGAGGGGGAGATAGTATCAGCAGCAGCCCTGTGCTGTGTGGCTCCCCCCGAAGTGTCGGTCTCTCCCCGTTAGGTAAGGATAACAACACACCGTTAATACTCTGTAACTTTAC